CACACGCACACACACACACACACACACACACACAGAGACACACCTGTCTCTTATACACATCTAGATGTGTATACTCTCTCTCTCTCTCTCTCTCTCTCTCTCTCTCACACACACACACACACACACACACACACACACACACACGTGTGGGCACTCTCTCTATTCTATGTATGTCGAGCTTGTTCATTATCAACCCCCCCAAAAAATCAAAGTAATATAAATCGTGGGCCTTTGTGGCAGCCGCAGCCACCGAGGCAGGCAGTGGAAGAAATCAAATTAATATAAATCTTATCCATGGATCTTGCCAACCCAGTGCGAAATTCAATCTGCATCAGGAAATCACTAAAATTAGTAATCAGTAATTAGTACTAATTAGTAATTAGTCTACAATGCCTCTTCATATGGCTGCATAAAATACAGTATAGTCCCCCCTGTTATAGAGAGAATTAAATGGAGGAAGAGAAGAATGGACGAAAGGACTGAGAAAGCATCACAAGACTGCGAGTCTTCGTATGCTGAATCAGCTGAATCTAGTTCGATGTGGGCACTTTTCCGCTCTCTGAGGCAAGAGCAGTATGGTGTGGTTTTGCACACAAGGCGAAGGGGGTTGCATGGTTTACACCAAGCCTTGCAATTGTCTGTTTTTTTTTTTCTTCTGTCTGAGATTTTTTCTTGGGCCTGCAGAATGGCGAGGATAACCTGCATCCTTCCTTATCTGCTGATACTGTTCATAACTTCTTAACAAATATCCCTGCCAGGTGGCATGCACCTACTGCTACTGATAATCTACTTTGCAGATTTCGAACCACTCAGATATTCCCTATTGCGAGTACCCTAAGAGTAAAGACTTAAACATTTCTAGGAATGCCTAATCTAAAAACCCTCCAAAAAAAAAAAAAAAAGCCCCTCAAAGGCTCAAACCAATTACCTCGGATAACATCAGTCACAAATAATGAGTGCAATTGTTGGTCGTCAATCACCTCCGCCCAACCTGGCTCAGAAGCTCCTCTCCTCCAACAAGAGCGAATGTGTGTGTGTAATACTTTGAGACTC